GTAATGTGATAAAAATAAAATTAAAATAGATTCACTCAAGCTTCTTCCCCGCCGTGAAATCTAGCTACCGGAATCCTGAATCTCTGCTATTTGCTGGCCCAGAATTACCGCCTTCAATTTATTCCGCCATAGATCTGTATACAAATCACCATTTCCAGCTTCTCTTTTTACCTCCACAATTACAAATCGTTCTGTCAATCTGTAAATATCGACGCTCATTGTTAATTTACCATTTTGCACTTTCATCTCAATTCCCCATTCTTTCTTTTTCCTTAATCTGAAATTCTCCTTCTTCGCCATTTCCTCAACTCTCTCAATTACACTCTCCGGCGACTGTTCCACCACCGTCCTCTCCAAATCATTCGCCGGATTATTCGATTTGAACAATCCCGAAATGTCTAATCCTTGAGAAAACGAAATTAAATCGAACGCATTCAAACAATTACTTGATAATGAAGATTTATCTTCTTCTTCCCCTGCAAATTTAATAAATTTCAATCCCTTTCTGAACCACGGATCCTTGATAATTTCATCAATCGTTATTCTCGTCGCCGGATTTGTATCCAGAAGACGAGATAATATCCGTATAACATCAGGAGACATCCATTTCGGGCACTTGAATTCACCTTTGTAGATTTTTTTGTACATTAGCATTAAATTCTGATCGTAAAACGGCAAATAACCGGCGATCATCACGTACAGAATAATTCCACATGACCATATATCAGTTTTAGCTCCGTCGTATCCTTTAATTGTTAGAATCTCCGGTGCCACGTAAGCTGGAGATCCGCAAACGGTATGTAACAGCCCGTCGAATTTTTGTATTTGGTCAGTTGTGGCACTTAGACCGAAATCGGAAATTTTGAGATCCCCATTTTCATCAATTAATATGTTTTCAGGTTTCAAATCGCGGTGGTAGATTCCACGTGAATGACAGTAATTGAGCGCGGAAATTAGTTGCTGAAAGTATTTCCGGCTAAGATCCTCGCTGAATCGGCCGTGATCGGCAATTTTGGTGAATAATTCGCCTCCTTTAACGTATTCCATGACGAAATAGATTTTTGATTTCGTGGCGAGCACTTCATAGAGTTTGACAATGTAAGGGTGGCGCAGCTGGCGCAAGATGGAAATCTCGCGCTCAATGTTTTCGTTTGGAATATTGTCTTTGTTGTTTTTGTTGATCATTTTGATCGCGACGCTTTGGCCATTGTTGATTTCTCGGGCATGGTAAACTTTGGCGGATGCGCCACAGCCGAGTAATTTTCCGAGCTCATATTTCCCGAATAATGGCTTTTCCGGCATTCGTTGAAAAATGCCGAGATTTGGTGGTTTGGATTTTTGGAGTGGACTGACGAAGAAGAAGCTAAAGGATTGATATATAGTTCAAAATTTTGAACTTAGGGTCTAAGTTTCTTTGTTTTCGTTGTCTTCAATAGTGTCAACTTGTGTTATATACAGGTCTTTTTTTCCAACATTTTTTCTTTTTAAATTTCCACGTGAATTTGGAACTAGTCATCATATTATCAGATAGGATGTTTCATGTTTATTTTTATTATTATTTTATCCATTCAATGTTTTAGTCAACGAAATTGAAGGTCGGTTTTGGCTATGGTTTACACGGTTTAGTTATCCAGTGTATCTCAATTAAGTATTGATTTTCTTTTGCTTAAGCAGATTAGTTTCTTATAATCCAAGCAAAAAAGTTTCCGCCCTCTGTTGTTTCTCTCTCTTTTTTTTCGCAAGAGAAGAAATGCAACAAAAACTTGCTAGATCTCAAAATAATAGTCGAAAAAATATTAGTGTATATATATATATCAAAAATATATATTTTTATATACTTTTACGGCTAACAAATATAAATAGTTTTGTCCGCAAACTAAAACTGATCTATGCCCTAGAATTTAAGCAGGAAATAAAAGCCCACAATATTTTTTGTAATATGTGAAGAAATGCTGAGGCACAAGTGCAACTATTCAAAACAAGACTCTTGATCAAAGGTAAAATTGGCTAAACCATTAAGAATTCATGTAGAGTAAAATTAATACATTAATGTATGTTATTGTGATTGTGAAATTAAAATAAATATACATTTTCGTAATTTATTGGTGGTATTATATATGTACTTCAGATTCAAGTCGAAGTCAAAAAGTGTTATCACATTTGCTATCCAGATAATAGAGCGGCCCCAGCCAGTTTACTGCTGCATCAACTATAAACTAACACTATTAATTCGTTATTCAATTAATCAATAAGACCAATTACATGTGACTTATCGTTATTTAATTAGGGGCGGCGAAATGGATAAAAATAATTATACATCCATATTATCCACTAATAAGTAGGTTGGTTAATGAACTTTTTAACACTGTGTTAAATATGGATGAGATCAATATTATCTACTTAAAATGAATATTTAATGGATAACCACTTAAATTGGGGGTTCGTCAAATTTAAAAGACTAGAAATTCCCCAAAAAAGTAATTGCATTCAAGAAGCCATAGTTATTATGAGTATTTATATTATTCACCGGTTAACCAATTTTCTATCTGCATTAAATATGAACAAATAGAAAATTTTGTATATTTTTGGATTACCCGTTTTTGACCTATTATACCAACCTAGCCCGTACGTTTGCCACCCCTAAATTTTTTAGTGAACAAGGACGGTAGTCGTATAACACGTATGCATTAAAATACTAATTCAGTTTAATTAAAATTATTAATAATGCAAGATGTCAAGTTTCTAGATACCTTTTTGTTGATGCAGTTAAGAAACGAGGGAGGGGGACGACAATAGAGAGTGGGGACTATTTAGACAGAAAAAGTTTAATTGACTAACGCGTACATTAGCGTAAAGATATCACACATTAAATTTTCAACATATTCATGTGGGCATATTAACACTTTGCCACGCAATTTCAGTAGATTATGGCAACATCAACTTTAGTCGTAGATGATAAAAAAAACAGAGCCCAAATGCTAAACTTTCAAAGGTTTCATATAGAGAAAATAGTAGGGCAAGAATTTTTCAAAGAAAATACTGATAGTACTCATATTTACAATACTAAAATATTTACTTTCACCAACTAAGGAAGATAATCCGTAGTTAGTAATAAGATACGCTTGGACCACAAAAATTCATGCTCAATATAGTTTGACTTTCGAGTACAAGTTTATCGATAAAAAAAATTAATTAAATTCAATTGAGTTTTCTTGAATACAGTATATCAATAAGTTAGACTTGTACTGTGAGTTATTTCATATTGTATACGGTCAAAATCGGGCCTACCCGATTTTGCTGTTTGATCGAGACAAGGGAGTTGCATCAGGGGTAGCCTCGTAATAAATCAGACCCGAGCTCGAAGATGAGACATCGAGCCTAAAGATCGAAGTGTACGTTGAGACCGAGGCCAGCAACAATCGAGACCAAGTATGACCGACTTCGAAGGGAGCATAATAACAGAATGACGAGATATCCGTAATCGGTCGAAGATCACGGCGAAAATCCCCAAATATATCAAATCAAGAGCGGTTATTGGTACCAATCATGGGTTTTATTTCCGTAATTAGAATTATACCATAATTAGGAATCCTCTAGTATATAAAGGGGAGTCCCCATCATTTTTAAGCATCTTACATTCACGAATATCAAGGCAATATAATATCTCTTGCTTCGGTTCATTAACTTACAGTTCTTTAAATTTTTCTTACTTCATTATTCTCGAGGGTTCATCAGCTCGAGGGCATTGTCCAAGCATTGGTTTGTTTTACATTCTTGTCAATTCACATCATTTATCTCTAAATTAATCAATCAGTATTGAGCAAAAATCGCGTCTCTTTAAAACCGCGTTACAAGTTTAATTGTTACTCGATTTTTAGGGTAAAACAGTTTGACGCCCACCGTGGGGCTAAGGATAATAGTGATTGCTTAATATTTTAGCCTTCATAACACACACTGCTTTTACACTTGTACTTGTAAGTGCTTTTGACTTCAGGAATCAACATGTTAAACTCTCAAGCAGTACCCACTCACACTGATATCGGCCTTGGTCTACATGGCGAAAATGATCACGTGGTCGCCCCAGGAAACGGAGTGCTTCCAATCAATCCCGACGCACCACAGGGCGTGGATCCGGTTGATGTCAATTCTCGTGTCGTCGTTCCTGAGGATTTAGGCGCCGACCCTGAAAATAGTGTTCGCAGAGACACTCGGGCAGCCGATCAAAATGCACAAAGCGGTGAAGAAGGTGGGATTAGCCTCCGAATGATATTTGAAATGTTGCAAACTCAGCAAACTGCGATAGCGCAACTTGCGCTATCAAAGGTAACGATTTGGAAGATGACGAGATCGAATCTGTTCTATTGACGAAGTTCGGAGAAACTCTGTCAAAGGGAGCAATGATCTGGTATCACAACCTGCCGCCAAATTTCACCGACTCATTTTCCATGCTGGCAGATTCTTTCTTAAAGGCACACGAAGTTGCGACGAGTAAATCAGACATTTTCAAAGTAAAACAGAAGGATACTGAAATGCTAAGGGAGTTCGTGTCCCGATTTCAAATGGAACGCATGGAGTTGCCGCTAGTCACAGATGATGGGGCTATTCAAGCTTTCACTTAGGGTTTGAATGAACGGAGTTCGATAGCGTCACGTCAACTGAAGCAAAATTTGATCGAATATCCAGCGGTGACTTAGGCCGATGTACATAATCGGTATCAATCAAAGATCAGGGTCGAAGATGACCGGTGAGGAGCTTCTTTAGGCTCGGTATATCCAAACAGGTCCACAGTCAGAAATCAGAGGGACATCGACAGGGAGCCTCGGTCGAACAAAGACCTATATCAGCCATACATCGCAGATCGCAGGAACGGAGACCCGGGATGCAACTCCACCCGGAATGATCGAAGAAGCGATCGAGGACAGAGTTCTCGGGGACTTATGAGCAAAAATGGTTTTGATAAGCACGCCGATCATACAGAGGCACCAAGATTGTCGGAGTATAATTTTAATGATGACATATCAGGTATTGTATTGGCAATCAGAAGAATCAAAGATACCAGATGGCCGAGGCCCATACAGACCGATCCTTCCCAAAGAAACCCCAATTTGATGTGTAAGTATCATGGCACACATGGCCACAAAACCGAGGATTGGAGGCAACTAAGAGGAGAGGTAGCCCGTCTATTCAACGAGGGCCACCTTCGAGATTTCTTAAGTGATCGAACCAAGAATCATTTCAGAGAAAGGGAAGCCAATAGGAAAAATGAACAGGAAGAGCCAAAGCATGTAATCCACATGATCGTTGGCGGGGACGATATCCCACAAGGGCCCATGTTCAAACACACTAAGGTATCAGTTACTAGGAAAAAATGGACCCGAGATTACATGCCAGAAGGTACCGTATCATTCAATGATGAGGAAGCAGAAGGAATTTCTCAACCCCATAATGACGCTCTGGTAATTTCTATATTTATGAATAAAGTTCAAGTTAAGCGTGTTTTAGTGGATCCAGGTAGCTCGATGAATATCATCCGAGCAAGGGTCGTAGAGCAGCTCGGCCAACAAGACCAAATCATGCCCGCAGCTCGGGTCCTGAACGACTTCAACATGGCCAGCGAAACGACTAAAGGAGAGATCATTCTCCTGGTAAACGTGGCCGGAACTATTCAAGAAACCAAGTTCCATGTAATCGAGGGTGACATGAGGTACAACGCCCTACTCGGAAGGCCTTGGATTCACAACATAAGGGCAGTCCCTTCGACTCTCCATCAAATGATAAAGTTTCTGACGCCGGACGGGGTGAAAACAATACGTGGGGAACAACGTGCTACAAAGGAAATGTTCACGATCGATGAGGTGATACTAATATCGTCACTTTCAATGTCAAAGGGACCAGAATCAAAGGAGAAGTAGAAGGTCAAATAGCAACCATAATCACCGGCTTCGACCAGTTCGGAACAACAGGAAATTATCAAGGATGATGATTGCATGATCCCTCAAACCTTCGTAACCCCCGATGATTCTGATGCCACAAAGTCAATGGTCGAAAAGCTGGAACAAGTCATACTGATCGAGCATCTGCCCGATCGAAAGGTATACCTAGGCACGGGGTTAACTCCCGAGCTCAGGGAAAAACCCATTAAATTCCTTATTAAAAATATGGATTGTTTTTCTTGTTCCTACCTTGACATGACAGGGATTCCACCCGAGATCACCACTCATCGATTGAGTTTGGACCCAAAGTTCAGACCAGTAAAGCAGAAGAGAAGGCCACAGAACGAGATAAAGCACGCGTTCATCATGGACGAGGTAACCAAACTTCTTAAAATAGGATCCATCCGGGAAGTAAAATATCCCGATTGGTTAGCAAACATAGTTGTAGTCCCCAAGAAAGGGAATAAACTTAGAATGTGTGTAGACTACAAAGACTTAAACAAAGCGTGCCCAAAGGATTCCTTTCCTTTCCCAAAGATCGATC